GTACGGTATTCACCAATCGAAAGAAGATATCGGGCGACGTCTTTGTCTTTAATGATGTATAAGGGAAACTCCTTTTAACCCTTTCAGGATGTAATTATTTTCTATCGAAAATTGATTCTTTTGATTAGTTTATTGAATCTGACTTCAAATGTTGGCAGAAAAACTTTAGAGTATTCAAAGAAACAATTTTTCTCGTTTGTTACACAAAAAAGCAGTTTCCAAGTAAAACATTCGATGCTTCATCGAACTTATACTTATTTTGTGCTACGATAAGCACATTTCCTTCGTGCTCCATTGGTAGGCAAATGCATTCCACCATCTAACCGAACAAGAAATTGCGGTGCTACTAACTTACGCTTCTGGTTTGACGAATGTCTTCGAAGATTTACTCGTTTAGTCGTATAACAGAGAGACTTAGCCACTGACACCAAATAATTCATATATGATAATCCACTTTAAGCTAATTGACTGTAGCAGATAAATGAGTTACCTATAGATGAATTGAAAAAAAAGCCGAAATCAGATTCTTTTTAGCACTCTGATCAAAGTATAGCAGAATATTCTTTGATTGAATCGATCAACGCCTTGTAGAAACTTGTTGAAGCCTTTTATTGTTATCAGGCATTTAAGATTAACAAGCTGTTATTCTTTCATCTGTCGAGAGATTGGAACGATTTCAGTGTCTTCAGAGTCATTTGACGCTAAAAAGATATGTTTCGTATCCATCCATTTGAAGGTAATAGTGTTTGATATGACGAGGGACTTGTCATCACCTCGTTCCATTTTCTCTTTTAGAGAAAAAGTTAGTGAAATATCAGTCAGATCTAGTCGAATTATCCCCACAGTACTTATTTTCTGCAGCTTTAGCTTCTCTAACAATATAAGCGAAATCAAAAAACAATTATCGAATTACAAATGTTTTTCCTTTGAAGTGACGATCAACAAAAAGAGTAAAGAACAATTCGTTCGGTCTAAAACGTCTCTTTTCGATTGATTTCTTCTTTTCCTAGGTAAATTCTACGGCTGAATAAATAATCAGTAATGGGTTCGCATAAACACCAAAGCTTATAGCACTTCTTTATTGTTTTTTGAGGAACGTATTGCTTGAGCCTTGATTTACCCGTGAATTAGACCATAGTTTTGTCCATTGAGTCATAGTGACTAAAGTATATGATGCGTTGTGAGAGTTTCCCTAGAAAATCAATTAAATGTTAGGTAGCAGATATAGAGGTATAGTAGATATAGGAAATATAAAAGTATATAAGATATAGAAATATTGAAGATATTGACTAGGGAGTGTAGATAATTTTTAAATAGTACATGAATTTAATACAAATTAATTTAATATATTAATACAACCTATCGACCCGTACTCGAAAATATCAACACTTACACTTCCTATATCCATGTATCTTCCATATCTCTTATCTCTACAATATCCCTATATGTCTATATATCATACCCTAGCACTTAATTGAGTTTCCAAGTGAATTCTCAGAATGCAACTCATCATTCTCAAATCCCTTCTCTGGCTCACACCATGGTGACTGTGTATTGTTTTGTACTAAATACAAGTTCGCTATCATCATGTATCATCAGATTGATTGACTAAAACAAAACGATTAACACACTATCAAATTTTTCAAGGCAACAAACATTTTAATGATCTATTGTACGACATTTGTCTTCGTTATTTTGAACGGGAGCATTGTGTAGACCATAACCATGGTTTGTAACTGAATACATTAACATATATCCATATATTGATCTGATTAGAGAGCCATTAATCATAATCGATCATAGAAATTTTTCATAAGGAAAGTCATTCTATCTCTAATATTTCAACTCTAGTGTGTTACATTTCGTCAAAATTCGACCTACACCTTGTCGTGATGTTGAGACGAACATCTAAGTAGGAGAGTGCTCATTGATACTATGTCATCAGTGATGAAGGCTTCAGTCGAAGAATCACCTAGGGCGTTTCGCGAGATAGACAGGCTCAACAAGAACACTGAAAATAGTGGCCAACACAGGCGATAACCGGATGGCCGGTTTAGAGGGCTTGCGGAGATCATCTACGCGAAAGGTCAGTCATCTTACCTGTGTTCTCCTGCCAAGGAACCAGAGAAATTCGCTGCCTCCGTAATTCATTATGAGACGAAACAAAAATACCATTACAGCCAATGACGTAAACGGGTCCCAACCACCAAGGGTGGGCCCCGCGTTCGGAAGGCTCGGTCGTCAACAAGCGAAATCCTTACGTCCCTGATGCAAAACGATTCCCGTCCACGAAACAATTTCTAGCCGGTACATGGAATACAAGAACACTGCTTGAAACAGGTGCAGCTAGCATCCTCGTGTTTGAGCTCGAGAAGGTAAAGATTTACATCATGAAGCTGTAAGAAGTATGCTGGCCTGGCATAGTCAAAACAGCATGTGACTTGTATACGATCTTGCAGTCTGGTCCTGTCAAAAGCAATTCAGGCATTGCAGGCGTGGCCCTTGAACTCGGCTGTACTGCCGTCGCAGCCATGATTTCCTGGCATCCACTTAGTGAAAGATTGTTGATTGTCAAATTCAAACACAGTTTCGGTTATCCATCAGTGATAGTCGTATAAACCCCTTCCAACAATGCGTTCGACAATGAGAAAGATGCCTTCTATCAACGACTAGAACAAGTTATGAAGGTGACACATCCAAGCGGCATCATCAGTTGCCTCGGAGACTTCAACGCCGTCACAGGAATGTCAAGAATCAATGCAAAGCAGGTCATTTTCCGACATAGAAGTGGAACTCCAAAAGAAAATGCAGACAGGCTACTGAACTTCTCTTTATGAGCCGACCTTAGAATCGACGGGTCAGGGTTCAAGCGCAAGGACATACACAGGTACGCATAGTACTCAAACGATGACGTGATTGTTAAGGAATTTGACCACATATTGATCAACAACAAATGGTCAATCCTCCGAAACTCTCGCGTCTATCGAAGCCTGGAGTTCGACACCGATCACCAATTTGTCATTGGCACGATGCAGCGGAGACTAAAACGTTTAAGGGAAAAAACGGTCATCACACAACGTTACAACATCAGAAAGCTGGAAGATCCCACCGTACAATTTCAATACGCAGTGGACATTAGCAACCGATTTGCTACATTAACAGCCTAGGAGACCGCAAATTGGAATAAATTCAAGGTAACATTAAACGAGACGGCAGTCAAACACTTAGAAACACGTAAACAGACCAAGAAGCCATGGATCAGCGATTCCATTCTCACGATGGCCGAGAAGAAAGGAGAAGCAAGACTACTTCTCAACCACGCGGGGTAAAAAAAAACTGCATAAACAGTGTAAGGTCAATTCAACATAGGATCGCCAATAGTGAGCAGATGGCATGGTAAGAGATGGTGGAGTGACACTGGGCGCCGGCGAAGTATGGGATGCAGTTGCCAACTTTCGACGTCTAGCTAAGGCCACTCGACCCATCTCAAGTCCAATCGTTGACGCTAATGGCAATCTAATTAGCGATAAAACAGGGAAGTTGGAACGTTGGCACAACTACTACGCTGAGCTTCTCAATCGACCTAGTGCATCCAGCTCTGTAAACCTGGTAGCTGCTGCGCAATCTGCAACCGAAGATCCAAACATCGACTGCAACGAAACAAGAGTACAGGAAGTTATCGAATACCTGAATAAAATGAAAAATGAAAAAGCGCCCGGCATATACAATATAACGCCTGAGATGTTGAAAGCTGGAGACCTCGACTGTAGTAACTAGCTAACCATATTATTCCAGAATGTATGGCGTTCCGAAACCATTCCAACTGACTGGAAAAAAGGAATTATCTTGCCATTCTACAATGGAAAAGCAAACAGGCAAGAGTGCAAAAACTATAGAGGCATCACGTTATTGTCCAGCCCTGGTAAACTCTTCGCACGCTTACTGTTGTCAAGTGTGAAAAACAAGCTCTTAGCCAAACAAAGAAAGAAACAAAGTGGCTAAACACTAGGTCAATCAATAGTCGACAGAATAACCACTCTACTTTCCTTCCTCCACACACGATATGAGCAGAGACATCCGCTTTGGATCGTCTGCATCGATCTTAAGGCAGCGTTTGACTCAGTTGACCGCAATACGCTTTAGCTCTTGTTGGTGAGTCTTATTGTCCCCAAGAAAATATTATACCTAATGAGAGACCTGCATACTGATACATCCAGTTGTATTCATGTAGATGGCCAACTATCCGATAGGTTCGATTTCAAAAGTGACGTTCGTCAGGACTGTATCATCGCTCTGGATCTGTTCCTGACACCAATGGACTGGCTGTTCGAGCGAACAGTTCACCAAGGTTTGCTAGGTGCAACACTGGAAAAGGAGATCTTCACTGACCTGCACTTTAGGGACGATGCAGCACTCCTAACTGAAACGATGGAAATGCTCCTGCTAGCTTTGGAACTTATGTATCGCGAAGCTTGCCCACTTGGATTAGAAATCAACTGATCAAAGACAAAAATCCAGGCAGTTGGAATCAACACGGCAGGTAGTGGCATATTACCAATAGTGAATCATCATGTGAAGCTGGTTGACTCATTCGTCTATCTGGATTGTATGATACACAATAATGGCAGCAGCATGCCGAACGTCACCATAAGGATGACCATCACACACAGCTGCATGAAAATACTAGATAAGTCAATCTGGCGCTCAAGCATATCACTAAAGACCAAAATTCGTCGCAATCGTTTGCTTTTGATAGTCGTACTGACTTCTGGTTGTCCTGTGTGCTTGCGAACCTCTTTTTTCTTGATGTGCTTCATGTATGGTATGCGAAGAATACGTCTAAGACACCAAGTGTCAAAGGCATTTAGTTTCATCTCGATTGAGTTTGTCATGGCCTAGACCCTCGTACAGTACAGAAGAATTGTTAATATGTAGCGATTGTACCGACGAATTTTGGTCTTTANATTTATCGATCTACATATTCGGAACCACTTGATCCTATGCATCCTATTTTACGACGTTTCATTAAGAAAAAAACACTTAGCCGTTATTGTATTTATAATAATTTCTTTGTTATTCGTTTAAAATGGTATTATGAATCAGAGCAAATTAAAAGTTTTGTTCATGAATTAATTCAAGATGATTTAATACTTCGAGAATATATTGGTGATGGATGTATTCATTCAGCTATGCTTGAAATTGATAATCGAGATAAAGTAGAACGTCTTGCAAATATTCCATATGGTCACAATTTGCATGTGATGCCACGGGGATACGTGAAAGTATTCGACGAAGAGATGAATAAATCATGTGAACAATTGACAGTACTTAGAGATGTACGAGGCATATTAAAATGAATCAAGATGTCCTAAGAAATGGAATTTATAGAAAAACATTGTTTTATTTTCTTCTTTTCTCTATTTTTGGCTAACTCAATGCACACTATCATCTAATTCGAATTTCGTTGCTATAAAAATGGGTATCTTAGTTAGTCGAAGAGCAACCTGATCATAACTTGATTTCCAATTTTGATTCGACCATAATATTTATATGTTGAAAGTGATGAATATATAGAAAAGAAGAGCTTTTTATCAGCAAATGTCGGTACTATGAGAAAGAAGGAGGGGGGGGGGGGGCAGAGATAACTAGTGAAATTGATTACCTACAGTAATACGATTTCTGTCATGTTAAACTCTGCCTCAAGATGTTTCAAAGTGATTTCAACTGGAATTAGATCCATAGCATCTGCTGATGAATTTTTCAACGAAGAAAACGCTCAAGAAAATGTTTGAGAAACGTGTGAGTCTACTTAGTTTGGGATGTTAATTTAGTATACCATATTAGTTTTTATTCAAACCATCTTTTCTTTGACCGAAATCTACTAAATACCAGGCAAAAAAAACGTAAATTCACGTCTCGAGAATAATTTTCTTGACGTGCTCTATATTTATAATAGGTGCTTTTATACTATTTTATAGCGATTTTCAAGCACTATCAAATCATATCAAAACGATCCCGATGTATGATCATATTTGATGACGTTAGCAGATGATTCCAGTTAATAATATACATAATACTTGCAATAATGATCTATTAGGGCTATGTGCTCCATGTGAGATGATATCGAAGTGTTTTTTCTGTGAGGTTTTTATAATATTTTGAAGCTATTGAAAACCACTATCAAGCTTTATGAATACTACTTTAGCCAGTTTTCCGATTACTACATAAAAGGGCTGGTTATTCTCATCACCCGATTTTAGTGTGCACAAAATAGCCATTAACTCAAGGGGAAAATATCGTACTTTTGTACTTTCATACTTTAATGTACTTTAACGTACTTCATGTACTTTAAAGTACTTCATTGTAGGGGAGCGGAATTTTTGGGAAAATAACTATTTATAATAAAGGTTGACGAAAGTAAATCGGGGTCGGGGAATCCGAATCTGCAATCGGTTTCTCAAAATTTTGAAGTGGAGTTTTGGACTAAGGAAGAGGTATTTTCGGAAAATAACGATTTTCTACAAAGGTTGACGAAAGCAAATCGGGGTCGGGGAATCCGAATCTCCAGTCGGGTTCTCAAAATTCCGAGGTGGATTCTTGAGTTAAGGAAGGGATATTTCGAAGGAATAACGATTTATTATAAATTTCGATGAACAGTATTGAAGTGGAGAGTTTTGCGCTTACAAGTTATGCGCGCCAAATTTGGTAGAAATGAGTGATTGTGTCGAATCGGACCACTGGACCTTGCTAGAAGTTAAAGGGACGAGGAAGAAACATTTTAGAAGACTTTATATTAGTTTACGGGTTTCCCAGAAACGTTTTCATGGATCCTGTGGATTTATGGTGTTTTGTTATGGAAAACCATCTTTTAAGTACAATAATAAGATTTTATTATTAAAAGTACCTTTCACCGTTTGAAAGCGGGCTCTACTGCACTCAGCTGAGTAGAGTTTGCGTTGAATTCTGGAAATTGTTTTCATGAATGCTGGATCTTCTTGGTGAAAGCTGGGAATATCAATTGTGGAATGGAGGGTGACCTGTTTAGGACCGGTTTGAATTCATGTAATAGTTGGCTATTGCATTCGATGCTGAATAGATGCCTTGGGAGTAGGGATGCAGTACGCAATGAAGTCGCTGAAATGACTTCAATTTTTATGCAGAAATGCAGTATGATCAACACCTTGCACGGAAAATATCTGTTTATGAATTATCCGTAGACATGATATTAATTCGAATAGTAAGAGAAAAGTAATTGATGGGCTATTTTCAGTGTTGAGTGCCAGTTCTTTTAAGAAGATTGACTCCGGAAGGAGGATATGCTGCATAATGTTATTGGACTCAGTAATATATGATACTGAAGAAGCATAAAGAAAGATATATACATGGATAAAATTGGGTCAAAGAATGTCTCGTAACAAGTGAATCTTTTTTAATGTAGATGCTGTGAACACTTAATTTTTTATATAACTTCAGGATAATTATCAACTTCAGTATGATAGTTTTTGTTTCAATATTTCTATCTTTGTCAATGTTTATCAGTTAGCTGTATATTTTCGCAAAATTACATCTCGCCAAAAATCGTATTGCATTCCACTTTGCTTTCTCATCGAGAACTATTGATAAGGATAAAAAGATTTGCTACGCCTATTGAAAAGGATTCCTAAGGACAGTACAAGACGACAAGAAATTACAAGAGGCCAACAGGGATCATGGGCAGTTGTTAGCCATTATCGGAAATCACAAGAAACTAGCAAAGATTATCAGGGACTCTCAGGCACACTAGTTCACTATCGAGAATTACTTGGGACTACGAAGTACTATCGGAATTTCCACACAAATAATAGAAGCTATCAGTAATCTCAAGACATCAACAGTAGCAACCATTTTTAATGAGCACGAAGGCCCACTAATCCTGACACCCAACCAAGACAGTAGCAGGCTCTTAGACACTCTACCAAAGCTGTTCATAAAAATCATAACGATCAAAGTATTTTATGACTCATTTATCTGAGTTACTTTAAAAATTAGTCCCGTCTAACGGCCAGCAAACCATGCCTCATGAGTAGCATTAGAAACCATCAAAACAAAAGAAACACAGGAAATTCTCGAATCGCACTATATTCGTAACCTTAAGCTGAATCTTTGAACTTTCAGCCTTGCACTATGACGTTCTTATTGAACTCGATAAACCGAACATATCCATAGAACTTTAATATTTCATGAAGCTTCAGAAACGCATAAAGCTCGCCAAACTAAAGAAACACGCATCATTGAATGAAATGATGAAAGCTACGAATATATGCTATGTGTAACTGCACTGTTTGTAAATTTGAGCAGCCAATTTGTAGACCCTCCACAAATACAATCACAAGAGTCCCAATTCGTGCGCAAACCGACGCCAATGCATTCCCTGCTAAAAGCACAATTTCAGTCACAGCCACCCTTTGATGCTTTAGCTGTATTGCTCAACTGGCTTCAGACATACAAACACATACTTGCAGTTCCGCAAATCAGTTTCATGTAGCAAGATCCTTCAAATTCGAACATACTATCGATGCCAGCGAAGCGGGTCGCTAATGAGCCTTTCATTCTGCAAGCATCATTGAAGTATTTCACACCGCAACACCATTTTGAACAACCAATGGGAGTAACAACCTACAGACTCACGTCAGTACTAGGAAATACACTAAAATTAAGCCCAGCAGCAAGACTGATTTTTCACAACAGGTGATACGGGGCCTTATCATAGATGCTCATCTTTCCAGAATACCCCTTTCTTCGTCTAAAAATCGAGCTTCCAATTTTGAGAAACTAATTGCAAATTCGGATTCCCCGACCCAGGTTTACATTCGTTAACNTGAGATTTGGGGAGATATTTTAACCATAATCTATTCTAGCCAAGACTAACATTCCCTGAAATTTTGGTTGAAATCGGATGAAAAATAAAAAAGTTTGTTTCTGAGGGGGGGGCCCCCCTTAAGAAGATTGACTCCGGAAGGAGGATATGCTGCATAATGTTATTGGACTCAGTAATATATGATACTGAAGAAGCATAGAGAAAGATATATACATGGATAAAATTGGGCCAAAGAATGTCTCGTAACAAGTGGATCCTTTTTAATGTAGATGCTATGAACACTTAATTTTTGATATAACTTCAGGATGATAGTTTTTGTTTCAATATTTCTATCTTTGTCAATGTTTATCAGTTAGCCGTATATTTTCGCAAAATTACATCTCGTCAAAAATCGTACTGCATCCCACTTTGCTTTCTCATCGAGAGCTATTGATAACGATAAAAAGATCTGTTACGCCTATTGAAAAGGATTCCTAAGGACAGTACAAGACGACAAAAGATTACAAGAGGCCGACAGGGATTATGGGCAGTTATTAGCCATTATCGGAAATCACAAGAAACTAGCAAAGATTACCAGGGACTCTCAGGTACACTAGTTCACTACCGAGAATTACTTGGGACTACGAAGTACTATCGGAATTTCCACGCAAGTAATAGAAGCTATCAGTAATCTCAAGACACCAACAGTAGCAATCATTTTTAATGAGCACGAAGGCCCACTAATCCTGACACCCACCCAAGACAGTAGCAGGCTCTCAGACACTCTACCAAAGCTGTTCATACAAATGATAAGATCAAAGTATTTTATGACTCATTTATCTGAGTTACTTTAAAAATTAGTCCCGTCTTGCGGCCAGCAAACCATGCCTCACAAGCAGCATTAGAAACCTTCAAAATAAAAGGAACACAGGAAATTTTCGAATCGCACTAAATTCGTAACCTTAAACTGAATCTTTGAACTTTCAGCCTTGCACTATGACGTTCTTATTGAACTCGGTGAACCTCACATACCCATAGAACTTTAATATTTCATGAAGCTTCAGAAACGCATAAAGCTCTCCAAACTAAAGAAACAGGCATCATTGAATGAAATGATGAAAGCTGCGAATATGTGCTATGTGTAACTGCACCGTTTGTAAATTTGAGCGGTCAGTTTGTGGGCCCCCCTCAAATACAATCACAAGAGCCTCAATTCGTGCGTAAACCAACGCCAATGCATTCCCTGCTAAAAGCACAATTTCAGCCACAGCCGCCCTTTGATGCTTCGGCTGTATTGCTCAACTGGCTTCAGACATACAAACACATACTTGCAGTTCCGCAAATCAGTTTCATGCAACAAGATCCCTCAAATTCGAATATGCTATCGATGCCAGCGAAGCGGGTCGCTAAAGAGCCTTCCATTCTGCAAGCATCATTGAAGAATCTCACACCGCAACACCATTTTGAACAACCAATGGGAGTAACAACCTACAGACTCACGTCAGTCCTAGGAAATACACT